AGCCATTTGGTAGCCTATGGCTGAGTACTGCCCCTATGCCAAAGTGGGACGCGTCTGCAGCTAAAACCAGGGGAAGTTGTTGGTTAAACTGGACTAGTACTGCATTTGAGGTTAGCAAGGATTTGACCGCTTGGAAAGCATTGGCTTCTCTTTGTCCCCAGTGCCAGGGGGCTTTCTTATCTAAAAGTCTATGCAAAGGTTCAGCTATAGAAGCCTTGTGTGGAAGAAAAGCTGCGTAGAAGTTCAGAAGTCCTAAAAAGGCTTGTAGTTCCGTTTTGTTAGAGGGAGTAGGTGCCTCATGGATGGCCCTAACTTTTGTTTCTATAGGATGAATTCCAGAGGCGTCAATTCGATAACCTAGGAAGTCCACTTGCTTAGTGGCAATGGTGCACTTGTCTTTTTTAAGTTTTAACCCATGCTGCCTAAAACGGTCAAGAACTGACCTAACCCTAAGTAATAATTGTGTTTTGTTGGTGGCAGAGACCAAAATGTCATCAAAGTATGGGACTACCCCTGGGAGTCCTTGGAGAATCCTCTCCATCAGGGACTGAAAGATGCCTGGGGCCACACTAACTCCAAATTGTAAATGCTTACACCTAAAAGCGCCCCTGTGGGTTACTATTGTTTGCAAGTCAGCAGTATGATTGTCTACAGGAAACTGCTGATATGCTTGGGACATATCTAGCTTCGCGAAAATTGTACCTGGCTCAAAGGAGTGCAACAGGTGTTGGATTATGGGGACTGGGTATGCACTAATTTGGAGGAAACGATTGAGGGACTTTTTATAGACTGCGCAGATTCGCACGCTGCCATCTTTTTTAAGGGGGGTGACTATGGGTGTTTCCCATTTTCCGAAATCTACTTGCTCTAGCACCCCTTGCTTAATTAGCTTATCTAGTTCAGAATCCAATTTAGGGCGAATGGCAAAAGGGACTCTGTGAGGTTTTAAACGAATGGGGGTGGCTTGTGGGCTTACATCAAATGAGATGGGGTACCAGAATAACATCCCAGCTCATTACTAAAAACATCAGCGTAGTCCCTGAAGAGGGTGTCTACCTCAGTATTCACCACAGAGTGAATACCAGTTACACTAAGGCCTAGAGCAGGGAACCAATCTAGCCCAAGCAAGCTGGGAAGGGCACCATCTACAACCACCAGAGGCAAGTGGCCTCTAAAGTTCTGGAATTGAATTAGGAACTTGCCTTTACCCAGGACTGGAATGGTCTTTCCCTGATAGTCTCGAAGAGTCAGGTGGCAGTTGAGCAGCTTCTTCTTGGACAGTGTAGGGAGCAGCTTCTTCAGGGTGGCCCACGAGATGATAGAGAGGGCAGACCCGGTGTCCACCTCCATCCGGCAGGGTTTACCTTCTAGAAAGACAAAAATGCTTATTTTGTTAGACCTAGGGGTGGTATTGTCTGAGTGGTAACAGGTATAGCAATCTTCAACTTGCCTTTGGAAGGAGGAAGCAGCTTGAGGTCTTTGTGGGAAGGTTTTTTCAGCTTGGCAAACCCTAGCTATGTGGCCTTTTTTCTGGCAGTTTAGGCAGATGGCATTTCTGAATCTGCAGGTTGACCTGGGATGTGCTCCCCTACAGCTCAGACAATTGGGTTGCTGTCTGGCTGTTGGGTTGGTGTTTTTCCTTGGCATCTCTGGGGGGTGTGTGTGTCTTGGTTGCCTGAGACGGTTTACATCAAGCGGTTCTTCTTCTAGGGAAACCTCATCAAAGTGAATGGCAGAGCTCCCTTGCTTTATGGGGTTTCCCTGAATCTCAGCTGCTGACAGCTCTGACAGCTCAGCAGCCTGAGCTTCTTCTATGGCCAAGGCTAGGGTTAAATCCTTTTTTACTAATAAGCGCCTCTGTAGCTTTAGGTCTCTAACTCCTCCTACAATTTGGTCTAGCAGCATGTCTTCCAGGTAATCCCTAAAACCACAGTGTATGGCAGCTGATCTTAATGCTGCCATATACTGACTAACGGTCTCCCCTTCAGCCTGAACTCTCCTTCTAAAAGCCAGTCTCCTAGCTATTTGAGAGGGTTTGGGGGAGTAGTGGTTAGACAGGATTCCCTGCAACTCCTCCCAGGGAATAGCTTTCACAGAGCGTGGGGATACTAATGCTGAGGCTGTGTCAAAAACTGCAGCCCCACAGAAACTCAGAAAATAGGATCTTTTCCTCAGGTCAGTGGCTTCTGTCAGGTCGATAGCGTTTAGGAAGCATTCGAACCGGTTCATATACGACTCCCACGTCTCGCCGGTCGGCTGGAAGGGAGGGAAGGTCGGGTTTGTACCCATCTTGAAAACGACGGTGTTGGTCTCCTCAGCTGAGGGAGCTTTAAATTCGCGCTTTTAGAAAAGCGCTCGCAGCTGCTCCTGTCAGGAGGCGTCAGACTCCTCAGCTGGGAGTTTGAACCGCGCTCGTGGAGAGCGTCAGCGGCGGTGACGTTATTCAGCTCTTAGCGGCTTCGGCTCTTTTTGACAGTGACTGTGCTCAGCTGTCTTTGCCTGGTTGTCTCTTCGTCTCTTATCGCATCCCGCCCTCGTCGCCAGTGTTGTAGAGCGGCGGTAGAGATAGAGACAGACGCAGGCTGAACGTTAACAGGCTTTATTCTAGTGAATAAAGGGTCGCCGCGGCTGCTGAGGCTAACTGGCAGTCAGCTGGCGGCGACAGCTGATGCCGTTTGACAGCTCCTTTTATAGCTGGCTGTCAAACGGCATCAGCCAATGGGAGCAGTCGGCGCTCCCGCACAGGCGGCGGATTAGAGAGAGGACTGCTGTCAGTCTGTGAACACAGCATCCACATACAGAACTACTCAAATGAAGGGTAAACAATGAAATTTCAGAAGAAAATACAATGGCTACAAGATTTTGCTCATTTGTTATAAATAAATAAATTAAAACTCCTCCCCCCCATGAATTTTTTATTTTATTTTTATTACAAACGTATCTTCTTCCATTTGGCGACGTGTCGTCTGGTTACAAATATTTTGTGCAATACAGTTAATGTTTACAATCATATTCATTACATAGTATTCTTTTCTAGATTTATTATGTACTTAATATCACTATCTCTTTATCTTTTAACTTAGCTTATTTATTTCTATCAATGAAAAATATATATTGTCCTTCTTAACTAATCCATTAATTATATCTAGCTTTCATATTTTTTCTCTAACCACTGATAGAATAGTTCCCGTACCTTATAATATTCAGTTTACTCTTTCTCTTTAATTACAAGTGTTAATTTGTTCAAATAAATAAATTAAAACTTGATGAAAAGACATGGGAGCAGGATTTTTAAAATTCTTATTGAAGATTTCTAAAAAGAAATTCTAAAAAAAAAAGGAAATTTCTAAAAAAAAAGAAACTTTGAGTATGAAGCCTTTTTTTCTAAGATTTAAGTAAACCAAAACAGTTTCAATCTAAAGTGAGAACAGTTTGTAGGTGTGGTGCCCTCTTAAAAATGCCAGTGAATTTTTTTGCATGCAAATTAACAATGAGATTTGTGATGACATCAATTGTATGGTATTGTTTATGTTTTCTCTCTCTGGTATCTGGAATACTATAGCATTCCTGGAAATAAAGATTATATTAATTATTAACACTTTGCTTTATGCATTTTGGGGATGTTTTACAATTTGATGGGCAAAGTCTTGATATCCAAGGACCATACTTGCAATTTTGGAAGGTCGAGGGCTACAAAGTCGGGAGAATCACAGAGCTGGTTTGGTGTAGTGGTGAAGGTGCTGAACTTCAAAACAAGAGGCTGCGAATTCTAGTCCTCCCTTATGGATGAAAACCTAATCTGGGCCAGCCATTTGCTTTCAGCCCAGCCATCTCACAGAGCTGGGGGTATGTGGTGTGGAAAATGGGAGACAGGACATTATAATAGAATAGAGCTAGAAGGGACCTTGGAGGTCTTCTAGTCCAGCCCCCTATACCATTTCAGATAAGGGACTGTCCAGTCTCTTCTTAAAAAATGATCAGTGATGGAGCATCCCCAACTTCTGAAGATAAGCCGTTCTACTCATTAATTGTCCTCACTGTTAAGAAGTTTCTCCTTATTGAAAGATATTAGATTGTGCAGAAATAGATAGACTTACATTGAAATTCAAGCAGAAAGAAGACACAGAATATTATCAAACATGGAACTTATTTTACCAATGGTTGGGAAAAAAAGGGTGGGAAGTAAGAATGGAATCTGTATCGCTAAGCAAGTTAAATACCCAGACAACATGATGTTTATTAAGCACTAAGAAATGTAATAAATAGAAAATTATTAAAATTTATTTTAAAAAAGAAGTTTCTCCTTAATTCCAGATTGCTTTACTCCTTGATTAGTTTCCACCATCATTTCTTGTCCTGCCCTTTTGTGCTTTGGAAAATAAGTTGACCCCCTCTTCTTCGTTACATACATACATTACACACACCACCTTGAGTTGTAGAATAAGAATGGACTATAAATCTAATAGTAAATTAAATAATAATAGGTTTAGGGTTTTAAATAATATAGACAGGACTTTAAATTATAATGGTCATATACCTAATTAGGGCTATACTGTAGCTTTTATTGGTTTCCAGTCTAAAGGTATCTTCAGTATTTAGCCATCATTGGCGAACCTGTGACTGTGGCCACAAAACAGCACTGAAGTGGCCACAACTTTGCCAAATTTCAGTCCCTTGGGAGTCATGGATCCAGGATTTTGGGCACATCCCTCAAGTTAGTATATTTGAGGAATGCTGATTTAAAATTTGTTTTCCCTACGATGCACCATTTCACCTGATTGAAAGTTACAAACAAGCAAACATAAATGAGAATTGTAGTTGTACGTAGATGATATTGAAGGAGGTTGCTGAGAGCTATAAAAAAAGGACATGGAAGTATGCAGCTTGCCTGTCCCCCTTTCACAGGAACAAGGAAAAGCAGCTCAATATTAGAAGGTGATTTAACATATTGCTCGTTGCAAAATCCATCCCAATTATCTTAATTTGTTTGTTTGTTTTAGCTTGCACAACAAAAGGACGTGAGAACCATCCCACTCGAACCGGAAGTTCTCTCCGTTTTTGTACCTCCGTTTATCAGCAAGGAAGATTTGCAAGCTCTTCCTCTAAATAGCAACGCACTCAATAAAACCAAACGCCGTTCTTTCCGGAAAAGGAAAGATAAATTTAAGACGGAGGAGGCAAAAGCTGTGAACGGAGCCCCCAAAACACCTGAGGATGAAGACATCACTGTCCCCAAAGATGTCGACCTGAATGGACTGCCTCAGCTTTGCTTTCCAGGTTATTTCTCTTATTTATTAAGATTTATATATCACTTTGCTGCAGAGGCCCGAGGAGTGTGTGACCAAAAATTTTGTGTGACTTTGCATTTTAGCTACCGTGTTTCCTTGAAAAAAGACCCTGTCTTAATTTTTTTTGGCCACCAAAAAAAGGCACCAGGTCTTATTTTCGGGGGATGTCATCCACTGACTAACCTCACTTGCGCGAGTCGCCCCCGGCCTCCTTTCCGCTGTCAGAGGCCTTCAGGAACTTATGTAGCCGGCAAGGCTTTCCTGAAGGCCTCTGCAGTGGATAACAGAGCTCTGGATCGATCCGGAGCTTTGTAATCGGCTACAGAGGCCTTCAGGAAAGCCTTACCAGCTTTGCCGGCTGCAGAAGAAATGGGCCGGCAAGGCAGGTGTCGGGGTGTGTGAGGCCTGGCTACAACTGTCCAAAGGTAAGTAGGAGGGCAGCTCCAATCCCCCATCCCCAGCCTAGCTGTTCGAAGTTACAACGGCACTGAAAAATGTGACTTACGACTGTTTTTCACCCTTACAACCATTGCAGCATCCCCATGGTCAAAGTTCAGACACGTGGCAATTGGTTCATATTTATGACGGTTGCAGCGTCCCGAGGTCACGCGATCCCCTTTTGCGAATTTCTGACGAGCAAAATCCACGGGGAAGCTAGATTACCTTAACCACCGTGTGACTTAATTGCAGTGATTCACTTAACAACCTGTAGCAAGAAAGGTTGTAAGACTCACTCCATGAATGTCTCACTTAGCAACACAAATGTTGGGCTCAATTGCGGTCTTAAGTTGAGGATGACCTGTATATATAATCCCAAGTCATTGTCAACATGACCTCTGATAGTCAAGACATTTGAAGAAGCATATTGGCAAATGAATATTGAGAGAGGACAGATGGACGGATGGACAAACATAGACAGACAGACAGACAGAAAGATACATAGATAGATGGCAGATAGATGTATAGATAGATAGATTTGATTGCTTATTGTACCCTATGACTATTATTAAGTGTTGTACCTTATGATACTTGACAAATGTATCTTTTCTTTTATGTACACTTGCATTTGCACCAAGACAAATCCCTTGTGTGTCCAATCACACTTGGCCAATAAAAAGAATTCTAATTCTAGATAGATAGATAGATAGATAGATAGATAGATAGATAGATAGATAGATAGATTATAGATAGTTGGCAGATAGATGGATAAATGATATATTAGATAGATGGACAGACAGACAGACAGACAGATAAATAGTTGTGACCTGACAAGCAGTCAATGGGGAAATCAGTTTCACTTAACAACTGGGTTATTAACGTCGGGCTCACAGAGTCTTGGCAGCCCGACACTGGAGAAAGCCTCCTTCGTTGCCTCTCTCTCTTCGTTCTCTGACAACGGGGGGAGCGATGCCTGCTTCTTTGCTCCTGGTGTCGCCCATGGACTGCTCCTTACTCAGGGCACCTCCTTCGCTGGGGAAGCGATGCCCGCCTCTTCTGCCTAGGCGTCGCCCATGGACTAAGCCAAGCCGCAGCTGCTCCGGAACGCTGGAAAGAGCGTCAGCTGTTTGGCGGCAGTTTCAATTGTAGCTTAGCAGCGTTTGGAGTGATCGGCGGGACGCAGAGGTTTCCAGGCGCTGTGATATCTACAGGGTTGGCTGGGGTGTTTTCATATACAGTTTTACTGTGTATGTTGACTGTTTCGTTGTTCCTGGGGTGGTGAGGAGCTAGAGGTGAAGGGCTAGGTTAGGCGTGAGTAGAGGCATTGGAAGAGCAGGTGGATGTAGGTTGACAAGCAGCTATAATAAGTGCTGAGAGGCAGTGGCTCCACTTGGAATTAGGTGTTGCCTTTTGGGACTATTGTGAGAGTGACTGAAGAAATAAACCTTGATTACTACAACCCTTAATTGTGCGTACAGTGGTTTTTCAGTGCAAATCCTCAAGTACCCAGCAAGGCTGACACTTAACCTATGTAGCGATGGACTGTGGCAAGAGGGGTTGTAAAATGAGGCAAAACTCACTTCGTATCTGTTTCACTTAGCGACATAAACATTGAGATCAATGGTGATTATAAGTTGAGGACTACCTATAGTTCAAAAGGGATGGTTTTTTTTATGAGCCCTGCTAATGTTCAGGGGTTTATAAATATGTGAATTATGGTCCTTTGATTGATGCCGTATTCTGGGAGACCCGTGCTCTTTTTCTGCGATGCTTTTATTTTGCCTTTTTTTTGCTTCTTTTACAGGAGGATTTTATATCACGGGACAATCGAGGGAGAACCATTTTCACTTTCTCGTTTTCACAGATGTCTTTGGAAACCGAACGTATGGAGTTGTGGCCCAGTATTACCAGCCTATGCAAGTATGTTTTTTTAAAAAATGATTTTGGCCTTAAGGAAGCTATTCCAGAGCTGGATCGTTGATTAATTTCAGAATGTATTCACTGTTGTGGTTAGCCGGCAGCAGATGCGGACGGCTGAGGAGAGCGAGGACTCGGATGAGGGCCCATTAGGGAGTGGACTGCTGCCTTCAGAGATTGTGGGGGCTGGCAGCAGTGATGAGGAGGTTCCTGAGGAGCCTGTGCCAAGAGCGCGTGCGCGTAGGATTGCTCACAGGAAAGAGCAGCTGCAACAGCACGGGCAACTTGGGAGTAAGGTTGCAAGGTAATGGCCCCTCCTTCAAGAAGATAAAAGGCAGCTGTGAAGCGAACGTTCTTTGCAGGAAGCAAAGATGTTTTAAAACTCAGTCTCATGGACATTACAATATCTTAAGTTGGTATTTGAAGACTGTTGTGTTGTGAAATATTTCTTATCTGTAACTCTTGGTAGTCTTGCACAGTTTTGGCAAGGTTTATGCTTATCGAAGTTAATTAGTTTTCAGCAGCCTTTTAACCAGGGATGCGTAAGATTCATTAAAAGGTTTCTGTTCCCTTTGGTTATTGTCTGTCTTATTGGAAAAAGGTTTGGGTCAGAACATTGATGAAAGATTGTCCTTGATTTACGCCCAGCCCCTTAGCAACCATTTGAAGTTACGACGGACCCCGAAAATGGGACTTAACAATCCATATTCCATATTCCAACATCTTCCCTCCCGTTCCCTCCCCCCCCCCCCGTCCCCAGATCATACAACTATATTTGAGGTGCTCAGCAATCATGTTTGCAACCATTTGCAGTGCCTTGATCACAATTTACAATGTTTATAGCAGAAACCATTAGTTACTGCTGGTTTCAATCAAAAGCTACCCCATAGCAAACAATAGTTTGCCTCATGGCTGCAGGTTTAGCATAACAAAAAAGGTTGTAAAATTGACTCCTGTCATGTGTTGACTCCTTTTACAACCATCACAACTGGCTCCATTACGGTCGTTACTCAAGGACTAACTGTATTTTGTGCCTCTTGCTTATTTTGTGCTCTTTATTCTCTTATGTTTGCAGCATGATTTTATGAAACAGGCTATAGCTGTTGATTGTATTTTCTAGTCATAGAATTATATAGAATGAATCCATTCAAAAGTCTTTTGATCTGGCTAACTTTGTAATATAGAGTTGGCTTCTGAAACTTGGACTTTTACCAAATCATTTAAAAACTGGATTGGGTTTGAGGTATCTTAATATATCCAGTAATTTGCCTAAAACTGGTATTTTTTGGGTTTCATTCCATTTTATTTCTGTTTTGTTAAATTCTTTTTTTTAAGTATAATTTTTGTTAATGATTTTTACATCAGTAAAAAGCAAATGGAAATAAAATCTATGAAGAAAGGAGAGAAGGAAATGACAAAAAGGAAAGTACAGTATGCAAAGTAGAATAAGAAAGAAAGAAAAATGGTTAAATACTGTGTTTCCGCGAAAATAGGACTTATCCCCAAAAATAAGCCCTAGCCTGATTTTTAAACTTGCATCTAAAATAAGCCCTGCCCCCGAAATAAGCCCTAGTGAAGGAGGATGGGTGTGGCTAACATAGGAGGTGGTGAGTGCGTGTAGGCTGATGGTGTCGGAAAGCCGAGAGTCAGTGGGCTGGACCATGCAGGCAGCTGCAGGCACTGGCAGAAGACTGTGTCACAGGCGCGGGGGGAAAGGGAGGTGATCCAGATGTGTTGCGCGGGCCATGGAAAAGCTGAGAGTCAGTGGGCTGGAGCAGGCGGCTGGCCACAAGAGACTCGTATTCGTGTCTCTCAACACTTATAAACAAACCTCTGGAGCCTTCGGAGTCTGGCAGCAGCGAAGCAGAGGACCCAGGGGAGCCTGTTCCCAGTGCGCATGTGCGCTGAGCTGCTAGAAGGCGAGAGCAGCCGAAGCTGAAGGGGCGACTCAGGAGTAAAGCTGGGAGATAATTGCCCCTCCCATAAGGGATAAAAGTCAGTCCTCAATGCCGAAGAGCTTTGCAGGAAGCATAGCAGTTCAGTAACCTCCGAGTCCTTCGTGAAGTTCCGTACTCTGATCATTTTTTTTCCTGGGTTTTTGGGTTGCTTTTATGTTAGCCTTAATTGGACTTCTGTTTCTTGGGAGCATTCGACAGCACTGAAAAAGCGTGCTCTTTTTTGGAGATATTTGTGTCTAATGAGTTTTGGCTGGGAATGCAAGTAATTCCCAGTGTTGCATTAAAAAAAGGTTTTACTTTTAAATTCAGTTTATTAAGTTTGACGAAGCCTGGGTCAGAGCCCTTTGTGTGTATGTGAATGACGTTCCCCCGTCCTTGAAAGACGACCCCTTTGCAAGCGGTTGTGTTTTTTTTCTTCCTTTAGGAGGGACGCCTTTACAATGGGCAGGCACATTGGGATAACCTTCAAAGCTCCAGAGCCGATTCGTACTTCGTACCGTTTGCTGTTTGTGTCATATCCAAGTACCCATATTTCAACGCCCTGAAGGACTGTTTGTCTTGGTAAGGATAAATATTTGGGTGGCTTTTCTTTTTCTTTTTCCTTTGGGAGGACAAATAATGCTGCTGGGATAGAGCCACAAATTTTGTTAGCCGTTAGAGATAGTCCTCGACTTACAACAGTTCATTTAGTGCAGGGGTCTCCAACCGTGGCTGCTTTAAGCCTGGCGGACTTCAACGCCCAGAATTCACCTTTGATTTGCTGGGGAATTCTGGGCGTTGAAGTCCGCCAGGCTTAACCAACCGTGTTACTAGCATATCAACTGTGAATGATTCACTTAACAACTATTGCAAGGAAGGTTGTAAAAAGGGGCAAAACCAGGGGTGGGGTTCAAAAATCCCAGCAACCAGTTTGCTGCCCATTTGCTGGATGGGCGGGGCCATAGTGGGTGGGGCCTACCAGAACTTCCTATTTTCAGCTTCCAGAGATCCAGGGGAGGCCATTTTCAGTCCAGAGACCTCCCCCTAGGCCTCTGGGAGGACAAAAATGGCCTCTTCCGGGCTCTGGAAGGCCCTCTGGAATCTCGAAATGGGCCCATTTCCGGATTTCCAGAAGGCCCGTTTTCCCCCCTCCCAGACCCTCCGCGCAGACCCTGCACTTACCTCCATCGAAAACGGGCCGCGTGGAGACTTTTGGGAGGGACGGGGTGGGAGGGGCGGAGCCAGCCTATCCGTTGAAATACCGGTTTGGCGAACCGGCTGTAACTTTAACATCCGGTTAACCGAACCGGTCCGAACCAGTAAAATCCCACCCTTGGGCAAAACCCACTTAACCACAGAAATTTGGGGCTCCATTGTGGTCGTAAGTCAAGGACTACCTGTACAAGAAATTTGTCAAAAACCTGCTGAGAGGAGGAAGTCGAAGAAAGCTTAACACAGACAGGCTAATTAATACAGTGATAATTCAGCATGGATGTGGACTTCCCTCTCTGAATACGATTCCAGTTTTCCACGTTCGATTCCTTCCCTGAGAAACAGTGTTGATTCCCACTGGATAATGTTTCCCGTAACAATTCACCAAATACAGGTGGTCCTCGACTTACAACCACAATTGCCACCCGAATTTCCGTTGCTAAGCAAGGCAGGTTCCTAAGTGAGTCATTCCTGATTTTACGAGCCTTTTGCCATGGTTTTTAGGCAAATGGCTGCAGTGGTTCAGTGAATCAGGAAGTCGTTAAGTGAATCCAGCTTTCTCACGGACTTTGTTTGCCAGAAGCCAGTGAGAAAGTCACAAACAGCAATTATTTGACACTGGGACACTGCAACCCTCATAACTTCATGCCACTTGCCAAGTGCCCGAATATTTATCATGTGACTCTGGGGATGCTGCAACAGTCATAAGTGTTTGTATGGACTGGTTGTCGATCGCTTTTTTTCAGTGTTGCTGTAACTTTGAACAGTTGCTAAATGAATGGTTGCGCAATGAGCCGGGGCACGGCTCAGAGGCAACACAGCCATCTAGCTGTTCAAACCCACCCCTTTATTGCTCCAAATTTTCCCCCAATATTCCCACATTTCTGGCAAGTCCCAGAGCCAAGAGATGACACATACACACACCCCTTTACGCAGCCTCTGGCTGCAAATAGTCCAGCTCAACACTCTGAGCCACCACGGCTGCAAGCAAGAAAATCCAGCAGGCAAGTCGAAGAGCCCAGAAGCGAGGCAAGAATCCCAAAATCAAGAAGGAATCCAGGAAAGTTCAAACATCAGCAGTCAACGCTCCAGGAATTTAGTGTTTGTTCCCGGCAAATGCCCCTCCCTACAACGTCTCCTTAAGTCACAGTCCCCAGGTGCGCCTTGAGAAGAGTTGTTGTTAGGGATATAACACCCTAGCAGAACCTGCACGACAGTCAGGCAGTCAGGCAAATATGTGAGACAAACGTTTTTGTAGCTTACACTCAGTAAAACAGATACAATGTGCTAGTTAAATAGTTTATTCCAGTAATAGTTTTAGCATAGTCAAACAGTCCATATATCATACACTAGTTCAGTCCGTCCGGGGATTATTCAGTTGCAAAGTCCAGTGTCGAAAAAGAGGTCAGTAAACTTACAAATATCAGTCCAGTAATATATCTCCTTGCAGTAGAGATATGAAGAAGTAAAACCTCCTTTCTTCCTTCAGCAACAGCAGAGAACACGCAGTTAACAATCCATCATCGTCAGCAAGCAACCCAGTTCTCTTGCTCCCTCTTATGGCGCTTTACAGCCGCACCCAAAATTACATGCTTTGCAGTTAAAGTGACACACACTTAAATTCACTATCATAGTCTATATATATTATTTTACCCAAACTACGTTAGGTAACCTTGTTATTCCTAACAGTCGGCCTGTGTCCTCCTGAGTTGTTGGGTCGGCCTGTGCTGTTCCCGTCTTTTCTCTACTCTCCATGCTTGATGATCAGGAGTGGGTGGTCCTTGCTCATCACCTGAACTCTGTTTCTCACGTTCACTGCTTAGCCCCTTCTTGGTCATCCTGCCCTCCTTCCTCCCTGCCTACAAGCCATCCTAATCCTAAAAGGTCATGGCCTGACTGGGCCTGCTCTTCCCCATCTTCCTCCGAAGCCAACGAAGCTGCCCCCTCGATCTCCGTTGACTCCACTTCCAGCTCATCTTTCCCTGCAAGATTCAGGCTCCGACAGGGGCATGACAGGTTGCAAATTGAGGACTATCTGTATTACATGAGATTCTAGTAGAGATTTCAACATGAGGGGTGGATTGTATTGCAGTTAGAGGGACACAGGGTTGGTTGTGCAATTGCGTACCTAACAGGTGTACGTCAGTGGCTCTTGGTCCAGTGCTCTTTTATCGTTAGTACCACCTGTCAACTCTGAAGCTGGCCTGACTGAGTCCATCTCAGTGTTGCCATACTGGAGCTGAGGGATTGGGAGGAGGGGAGAATAGAGATAGCTGGGTTTTGTAGCCAAAGCAAAATAGTTTCCCTTGAGAACCAAGGACATTCCCACAGGTGGCTGAAAAGAGGAGGAGTCAAGTTTCCAAGCAACTGCACAGCATCTTGACTGGACCATGTGATTGATTGATTGGGAAAGGGGGAATAACTTTTACTTTTAATTGGGTGAAAACTGCAGGAATCTTTAGAATCGGTTTTCACCAGTTTGTGCCAGTATGATATATCCAATAAAACCTGTTCTTTGAGCAACCCACTTGCCTCGGAGTTCTGCTTGCGATGGGCATATTGCTTGGAATCCTGACACCACTGCTAAGTAGTTTCTTAGAGATTTTGATAACAGTTGAGGACAGAGCCCTCCTATTATGAATTCACAGCTTCTAAATTTTTGAAGCGAATGTGCTGAATTTTATGTCCTACTGGCTAGACTTTTAATTTCATATAGTAATAAGCTGGCAGGAGCGGAGCTGCAAAAACTAGATTACATTTGCATGAATTGTTCTATAAGCTTAATTGCTTTAAAACTTAAGATCTGTACTTGGGTAGGAAAAGATCAGAATTGCATTAAATTAAAGAATAATAAGATGGTACATTTTTTGCAGAAGAAACAAATGTTGAAAGGCACGAGAATTCTTCTCAAGCAACTTCCTACTCTTTGCTGCTGCTATTATTATTATTATTATTATTATTATTATTATTATTGTTATTGTTGTTGTTGTTGTTGTTGTTGTTGTTGTTGTTGTTTTGTTATTGTTATTGTTATTGTTATTGTTATTATTTTGCAGTTTGTTGCTACGTCTTAAGCCTTGCAAAGATTCAGAGATCGAGGAACAAATAAAAGAATTTGCAGCAAAATTATCCCTGATACCCAGTTCTCCTCCTGGGCAGCTTCATCTGGTAAATACTTAAAATATACTATACTTTATAATTTCCTGTGCTTTAATGCAAACAAGAATTGTTAAGTACTTTTTAAAAGCAAAAGGATTTGAGAAGAGAACAATGAGGATTTCCTTCCCGATGCCGAACAGGAAACATGGATAAGATGAGCTAAATTTACTTTATTGCAGGGTTACATTAACAGAATCTTGTAAATCTGAAAGTACAGATCTCCCACATAAGCTTTTATCTGCCTGATTTATTAGGGTGGGTCTTTTTTAGGTTCCTCTATCTCTGGCTGTTAAGCAGCTGAGGGCTACACATCCTTTTATCTGATCTCTTCCCTTCACCCCTCAAAGTCATTCTCACACACCCTTTTATCATTTTCCCACTGCAAATGACAAATGTATCTTTTCTTTTATGTACACTGAGAGCATTTGCACCAAGACAAATTTCTTGTGTGTCCAATTACACTTGGCCAAAAAAGAATCCTATTCTATTCTATTCAGAATGCCCAGCTTATTCTATTCTTGATGCATATTGGGGCATTCACAATCAAAACGGAGAACTGCCTTGATTTCCCTGTCGCTAAACTTTCTCTTTCTCCTTTGCTCTTTCTGCCTTCCTAGGATTTCCTTCTTCATCTTCTGTCCGAAGCCACTTTTGGCAAGAGGGATTTGAGCTCTTTTTTTCCCTTTTCTGGATCTCATGTTTCTGCTTTCTTTAACCTATTCCCCCCCGACACCATTTCTGTACTCGGTGTAGTGTTGCTCACACCAAAAGAGAAAACGGAATCACAATGTAAGTATGCACAGGGTTCTTAGATATACTATCGGAAAACTATATATACCAGGGGTGTAAAACCAATGCCCACGGGCCGGATCCAACCGATGGGGTGCTTATTTCCGGCCCTGGAAATAACAAAGGACTGGCCCATGGTTCCTCTGCCAGCGAAAACAGCCTGGGCAGGCCACATGCGGCCTCCGCGAGCTTTGTTTTTGTTGGCAAAGAGCTGCAGGAGGCCACGGCAGCCAAAAAGGAAACCCGGGCGGGCCACGTGTGCTTCCCTGAGCTCCGTTTTTGGTAGCAGAGGGCTGCAGGAGGCTGTTGCGGCTGAAAACGGAGCCCGGGAGGGCTGCTTGTGCTTCTTTTTTGCTGGGAGAGGTCTGCAGGAGGCTGTCATGGCAGAAAACGGAGCCTCGATGAGTGACATTGAGCTGGCCACGCCCCCTCCCCCCCCAAGGCCTAACACAAACCTGATGTGTCCCTCAATGAAATTGAGCTTGACACCTCTGCTATATACAACGTGACGTAATCCACCGGTACGTTACAAAGACTTTGAAGGAGGAAAGAAGGCGGCCCATGCAAGTGAGCAAGTTGAGTGTGCACCCATGCGTTCCAGACCACTTGCACAGCCTGGTTGTGAATTAGCCGTGATCCAGTAGTGGCCCGCGGGGGGGGGGGGTTGGGAAATCCCTGGTGTATCCTACATTGCCTCTTCCACTCCGATTCTCTTTAGAAAACGAATTGTAATCTCCTTCTGCTGTTTGTGGTGATGAAACCCTCAAAAACGGGATATTCCCCTCTGTTCTTCTAGCTATTCAATATGAAGCCTCTCCAAGTCGTATTTCCATCTCAGGAAGATCCTGACAGCCCTCTTATTGATTTGGATCTACATCTTCCCTTCCTTTGCTTCAAGCCGGAACAGATTTTACAGGTAAAGGGGTTGTTTTGTTTTGTTTTGTTTTTTTGTAAATTTTATTGGTTTTTAAAAACAAACATAAACAAACAAAACATAAAAACATCAAACTTTCTTCCATAGGTATACAAACAGTGTGCCGGTTGGTTTACAAATCATTTTGTGCATCCATTTCGTAGTCTTCAATTACAGTTACATTACATAAAAGCTCATATTATCAGTCAAAAATTAAATACCCTAATATCATTATTAATCAATCATTTGACTATAAATTTATTCATTCATATTTTACGAGATAACCATAATTTACTTAGTTTATTTTATAACAATTCATATTATCCTCCCAAATCTATCCTAAAAACATTTTGTAGATATAATAAAAAAGAAGTACATCTTTATATATTTATTATTTTCTAAAAATCTACATATTTCATTACTGTATTTTATTATTTAACCATTGATAAAAAAGGTCCCAAATTTTATAAAATTGTTTATCCTCTTGTTCTCTAATTTCAAATGTCAATCTACTCATTTCAGCACATTCCAATGTTTTCTTAATGATTTCCTCCTGCGATGGTATTTTCTCATTTTTCCAGTTTTTAGCAAATACAATCCTAGCCGCTGTTAATACATTTACAATCAGATATTTCAAATCTTTGCTATATGTTTCAGGTAAAATTCCTAATAAAAATATCTCTGGTTTCAAATCTATATGGTTTTTTTTTTGTCATTTTTTCCAACCACATGTGGATTTTTGATAAAGGGTTGTTTTTAAACGGACTGAAATTTTCTCCATCAAACTTCTGCCAAATTGGCAGGGAATTCCCTCATCCCAGTCTTTTTCAACTTCAGAAGTTTTAAGATAGGTGGACTTCAGATCCCAGAATGGCCTCTAGCAGACAACCGATTCGCTGAATGACCACCGCAACAAAGATTGTGAAATCAGATTTGTCATATGGGTGACCTGCTTTGCAACTGTCACGAATTACAACCAGGGGTGGGATTCAAAAATCCCAACAACCGGTTCTTTGCCCGGTTGCTGGGTGGGCATGGCTATGGTGGGCGTGGCCTACCAGAATTTCCAGGAGGGCTGTTTTTCACCTTCCCCAGAGTCCGGAGGCTTTCCTTCGGCCTCTGGGAGGGCAAAAACAGCTTTTCCCGAACTCCGGAGGCCCTCCAGAAGCCTGAAACAGATCCGCTTCTGGGCTTCCGGAACTTCCAAGAAGGCCGTTTTTCACCCTCCTAGAGCCTCCACACAGAACCTGCACTTACCTGCATCCAAAATGGGCCATGTGGAGACTCCTGTGAGGGGTGGGATGGGGTGGGCAGGGCAGGCTGGTCGGTTTAACTACCGGTTCAGCGAACCAGGTGTAAATTTAACATCCGGTTTGCTCGAACCGATCCGAACCGGCTGAATCCCATCCCTGATTACAACCCTAACGGGCAGGCTCCATTACAGTTGTAAATCGAGAACTACCTGTATCTTTTTAAAAATGGTGGGCAGGAAAAATAGTTTGGACAGAAATTGCTTTCCGTCTGTTAAAATGTGCCTGTTCTGTTTATCGGCAAACAAGTTTGAGTTTTCCGGCGCCAGTTGACCTATCGTGGAGTTATTAATGGTGAGGAATTAATGGCAGTGTGCGGCGGCAGCCAAAACGGCTGATACAATCCTTGGTTGTAGAAACAGAGGCATAGAATCAAAATCATGTGGAAGTATTAGCACCGCTTTATAAAGCCTTAGTCAGGCCACACCTGGAATACTGCATCCATTTTTGGTCACCTCATGACAAAAAAAGATGTTGAGACTTTGGAAAAAAAAGTGCAGAGAAAAGCCGTTAAGATGATTAAAGGCCTGGAGACAAAAGTATATGAAAAACGGTTGCAGGATTTGGGTTTGGCCGGTCTAGAGAAAAGAAGGATTGGGGGGTGGGGGCATGAGAGTGTTCCAGTATTTGAGGGGCTACCACAAAGAAGAGAGGGGTCAATTTATTTCCCAAAGCCCCAGAAGGCAGGACAAGAAACAATGGATGGAAACTGGTCAAGGGGAGAAGCAAATCTGGAGTTGACCGGAAGCTTTCTAACAGTGAGGACAATTAACCAGTGCAACAGCTGGCCTGTAGGTGCTCCATCACTGGAGGTTTTTAAGAAGAGACTGGACAGTCCCTTGTCTGAAATGGTGTACGGTCTCCTGTTTAAGGAAGAGGTTGGACTAGAAGACCTCCAAGGTCCCTTCCTGCTCTATTCAGATTGATTAGTTGATTGGATGATGATACAATACATTTGAAATCCCCAAAATGTTTAAAAATTACTCGGAGAATGATGCAGTTTTATATATGTATAAAAGTTAGGGTGATCTGTTGGGTTTTCCTTTCTTTCCAGATACTTACTTGTATTTTAACTGAACGGAAAATTGTCTTCTTCTGCTCGGACTGGGCATTGCTGACTCTTGTATCCGAATGCTTCATGTTGTACATCCATCCTCTTCAGTGGCAACACACGTTTGTACCAATCCTCTCCCATCAGATGTTGGATTTTGTCATGGCACCCACCTCCTTCCTGATGGGCTGTCACATCGACCACTTTGCGGAAGTTTGCAAGGTTGGTCAGGAATTATTTCTAGATCCACAACTTATTTATTTGTGTTTTTTTTAATCTCATCTTTATTAATTTGTATGCAAGTCAAGGCAGTGAACATACCTGATATCCTTCTTTCTTGTGCGTTCCCTACATCAGCAACCTTGGGATTGTTGGATTGGGCTGTGAGAGAGGAATTGGTCCAGTGTCACCAGCCAACTTCCATGCCTAAGGCAGGACTTGAACTCACCATCACCTGATGATTGACCCAAAGTCACCCAGCATAAGGCAGAATTAGAACTCCCACTATACCAAACTGGCTCTCAAACTTCACTTTTATCTTTGTGCAAGCTTCAGAGAAAGCAGTAACCAACTTGCATTTGTTTATCCGGTTGATAAAAATATTATTTGCTATTGCTACATATTCAGGAAGTCTCTTAACCGCATTTTATCAGCTTGTCTATTACAGGATACATTTAGATTTTTAAAATGCGCTATCCAATCTCCTGCGGTGTACATGTTACAGGATCTTGACAGAAACCTGTTTTTTAAATTAATGTCTTAGGGGGAAAAAATTATGTATACTGAAAGTATTTGCACGAAGACAAATTCCTTGTGCGTCTAATCACACTTGGCCAATAAAGAATTCTATTCTATTCTATTCTATTCTATTCTATTCTATTCTATTCTATTCTATTCTATTCTATTCTATTCTATTCGATGGGAGAAAAAGTGGTGTACCATTTTTTTTTTTAAATTTGATTTTTGTCCAGGCAGTTTCTGAGAATAGGACACAATTGAATGGAGGGGAGGGGGAAACCAAAATTAGTCCAAAGGCAACTGGGCTTTCTTTCTTTTTTTCATTGAAAAGGTTTTGCTTTTCATTCAAAACGCTTTTTGACTGAAGTTCTGACTTCAGTGCTTGGATGAGAAGTGAAACATTTTCAAAGTAAAAAAAGAATGAATGAATAAATAAATAAATAAATAAATCCTGTTGCCTTTTGGAAAAGCATCTTTGGGGCAACTATGACTTGAGAATGACTGAGGATGACTGAGAATCTCCATAGACAAGATAAAGATAGATAGATAGAATTCTTTATTGGCCAAGTGTGATTGGACACACAAGAAATTTGTCTTGGTGCAAATGCTCTCAGTGCACATAAAAGAAAAGATACATTCATCAAGAGTCAAGAATCATGAGGTACAACACTTAATGATAGTCATAGGGTACAATAAGCAATCAAATCTATCTATCCATCTATCTGCCATCTATCTATATACCTTTCTGTCTATCTGTCTATCCATCTATCTAATATATCATTTATCCATCTATGTGCCATCTATCTATGTATCTTTCTGTCTCTCTCTCTCTCTGTCTATCCATCTATCTGCCAACTCTCTCTCTCTCTCTCTCTCTCTCTCTCTCTCTCTCTCCATCCATCCATCCATCCATCCATCTATCCATCTATCTATCTAGAATTAGAATTCTTTTTTATTGGCCAAGTGTGATTGGACACACAAGGAATTTGTCTTGGTGCAAATACTCTCTGTATACATAAAAGAAGAGATACATTCGTCAAGAGTCAAGAATCTTCAGGTACAACACTTAATAATAGTCATAGGGTACAAATAAGCAATCAAGTCATACTAGGAAACAGTCCATATAAATCGTAAGGATACAAGCGACAAAGTTACAGTCATACAGTCACAAGTGGGAGGGGATGGGTGATAAGGAGTGATGAGAAGATTAACAGTAATAGTAGTGCAGACTTTGTAAATAGTTAGTGTTGAGAGAATTATTTGTTTAGCAGAGTGATGGTGTCCTTGTGTCCAGTTCTGGTGTGCAGTGCCCTATAGCGTGGTTTTGAGGGTAGGAGTTGAACCATTAAAATTGTTTCTGTTCTTAGTCTGTCAAGGGTGACATCTACCATAATGGATTGTTAACTTCTATTTTTAACTATCAATTTTCCCAATTTTTTGTAACAATCAGGAAGCCGACGACTTAATTCTAATCAACATCGATTCTGGCGATATCGCTCAATCCAAGTCCTCTGAAGAGGAAACCGACATTCCAGATGTCCCAGCAGAAGCAGCCAGGGTTTTTATAACACGGTAAAAATAATCAAGATTATTTCGCTTGCTTCCATGAATAAGGCTCTAAAAAGTCAGAACAAAAGATATGGCTGGATTCAGCAGTGGGCTAACATTATGGCTGGTTTGGCAAACTGACAAATCCCACCCATGGCTGGTTAAAATGATCAAAGGCCTGGAGACTAAAACATAGGAAGAACAGTTGCAGGATTTGGGTTTGGCTAGTCTAGAGAAAAGAAGGACATGATAGCAGTCTTTCAGTATTTGAGGGGCTGCCACAAAGAGGAGAGTGTCAATTTATTTTCCAAAGCACCAGAAAACAAGGCAAGAAACAATGGAGACTGATCAAGGATAGAAGCAACCTGGAATTAAGGAGAAACTTCCTAACAGGGAGAACAATTAACCAGTGGAACAATTTGCTTGCAGAGGTTGTGGGTACTCCAATACTGGAGGTTTTTAAGTAGAGACTTGGACAACCATATTTGACTGAAATGGTATAGGGTTTCCTGCTTGATCGAGGCTGGACTAGAAGACCTCCAAGGTCCCTTCCAGCTCTGTTCTGGTTGATTGGCTCCTTGTAACGAGCCATGCTCTTCTTCCTCCAGATCTGAAAACCTTCAGCTGCACTATGACCTTGAACTCTGCCATCTGGGAACCTCCACGGACTTCTTCGAAATACAAGGCCGACGGAGAACTTGGCAACACAAGCTGAATTCTGAAATTCAACAGATTACTCTGCAGTTAATCGTCAATATGTTTAGGTGGGTGTCCGAAAGATTTCCTTCCAGAGCCCTTTAGCTCTTTCCTCCGCCTTCAGGTACCATCACCTGTTCAAAATGTAAAACCCTTTAAATGAAGGGATAAGCGAGCCTGCTCCTTTTGCGCCTCGAGAGACAATTCTGGTGTCAATTCATAAAACATTTTCTATGCCCGTTTTATAGTTGCCAACCGAAAGTGTGTGTGTGGGGGGGAAGGAGTTTGAAAGAGCCATGCAGCAGTTTAGAAGCGAACCTTGCAAAAATTATACTAACTGACTGGAATTTCTGGTGCTCAAAACTCCAATTGGAGACCCAGTGTCAACTCATAAAATTATTTCTCTGGTCTTTTTGGAGTTGCTAGCAGAAAGGGAGGAGGGAGCAGTGCAGTAGCTTGCTAAACTGAAACTGCATTCCATAAATGTTTTTAAAGATAGTAACTAGATGACTGAAGTTTCTGCTGTGCAAAATTCTAACTGGAGAGCATGATTGAGGACTCTTGGCTATGGATGTGTCCCATTGGAGAATATGAATTACGATACACCCAGGGGGGTGGGGGAAAACCAGGGTCAAAGGTGACAATGAATGATGTGCCTCAGAGTTGGCTACACCCAGGCAGTGCCGGACATGTTAACTCCCAATAAATCCCTTTGAAGATTTGGAAGTTTGGCTCGAGACTCATGATTTAAATGGGGGTAACTGCCAGAATCTTGACACCCAGATTGATGACTCTTGGCTATGGACATGTTTCATTGGAGAATATGAATTATGATACACCCAGAGGGGTGGGGGAAAACCAGGCTCAAGGGTGACAGTGAATTGCGTGTCTCAGAATCGACTACCTCCAGGTCATGCCAATATGTTGCTCCTAATGAATTCTTTGAAGCTTTTTGAAGTTTGGCTCAAGGGTCATGATTTCATTAGGGCGATGGCTGGAATCCTGACATCTGGGTGGATTCATTTGACGATCCGTGGATTTACACCATGCGTTAATTCTTGTAATCCCATTTTTATCAACAGGGAGGTGAAAGACCATTTGAACTATGAACACCGAGTATTTAACAGTGAAGAATTCTTAAAGACAAGAGCAATAAACGATCAGCCGTTTTACAGAAAGGTAAGGTGTAGCTTGACATAAATTGTTCCATTAGTTCATGTTGTAATTAAAAAAAAAACCCACAAATGTTTATTTGAGCTGTAGTTTTATATAATTTATATATATAGTTTTATATCATTTTATATAATTTGATCTTTTGAAGAAAGTATGCCTATCCAAACATTTTTGGATGATCTTGTTTCTGCCAATATATTCGTTAAACTTACTGAAGTCATTTGTCTGAAATATGCATAACTACAGAATTAACTTTTATAATATACTATTTGATATATTGGATTACTTAGGTGCCATCAAGTTGTTGTTGACTCTTAATGACCTCATAGAATGTAAGAATATAACACAGAAACTGTTGCTGTAGCAGTCCTACTTTAAGTATGCAATAATATAGTTTAAAGGAGAAAAGTCTGTGTAGAGATTCTCAGTCATCCAGGTCATGGTTGTCCCAAAGGTGCTTTTTCAGGAGGCAGGTGAACTGTTTGGTTTTTCTTTTGAAGACGTTTCATTCCTCATCCAAGAAGCTTCTTCAGCTCTAACAGAATAGTGAGGAATGGAAGGATTTATATTCCTTGCAGACAGCTGGTCATTTGCATCCTTTTAGAGGGTCGTTGAGGCCACTTGGAGGTTTATCTGCATTCTCAGGGTCACCTGAGTAGCGCAAATGGTTCCTGTAGTCTGCAGTTTTCCTCTGGAAATCCATTCCTACTCCCACACCATTCCAAGGGTGTTAATCCCAAATTGTATAGGTTAAAGGAGAAACTTCTGAAACGTTTGCTCTCAGCGATAATCTCGCACAGTGGAGATACAGATAGTCTTTGACTTATGACCACAATTGAGCCCCAAATTTCTGTTGTTAAGCAAGACACTTGTTAAGTGAATTTTGCCCCATTTTATGACCTTTTCCTGCCGCACCTGTTACGTGAAACACTGCAGTTGTTAAATTAGGAACATCATTACTAGGTGAATCTGGCTTCCCCGTTGACTTTGCTTGTCAGAGGGTCCCAAAAGGGGATCACATGGGATCTCCAACCGTCATAAATATGAACCAATCGCCAAGTGGCCCAATGTTGATCACGTGCCCGTAGGGAGGCTGCCATGGTCGTAAGTATGAAAAATGGTCCAAAGTCACTTTTTTCAATGCCACTGTAACTTCGAACAGTCGCTAAATGAATGGCTGTAAGTCAAGGACTACCTGTGCTGTGGGTAATGCCTTCTCTTGTGTTTGTGCAGGTGCTGGAAACGTATATGTTCCACTCTTTTCTCAAAGCCCGCCTTAACGGAAGGATGGATGCTTTTGCTTACCTAGAGCAAAGCACCCAGAATGAAGAAGACAGGTAAACCTGACATCACTTGCTTTGCAAACAACATGAGGTGGTGGGGGAAGGGCGGAAAGGGCGGAGGGGGGGGAACTTGCCCCACGCACCCACACGCCTCGTTTGGCCACCGGGCTGCTTCTTTCCACTTCTTTCTTCTTCTGCTTTTGGTTGCACGCAAGGAAAGCAGCAAAAGTCTTTCTTTCTCTCCCTCCAAACTCCGCCAGAAATGAGTCTTTGGGACCCTGCAAGGCCTCCTGCTCCAAGAGGCTGCGTCAGCAAAGACTCATTTCTGGCGTTATTTGGGGGAGAGAAAGAAAGACTTCTGCTGCTTTCCTTGCATGAAGCCAAAAGTCTCTCTCTCTCTCTCTTTCTCCCCCTGAGAACAGAGCTGGAGACCAGTATCCTGCGATCCCAAATAAAGAATGATCGATCGGTGGGAAAACGGGGTGGGGGATTTTCCTGCAGACTTTTTTGGGGGTTTTCCCAGGGTCTCTGGTCCGCGGGATTTAAAATGATGAGTTTGGTAGTCCCTGAGGTCCAAAAGTTTGGCGACCCCTGCACCAGATGACATCGCTAGGGCTCTCTGCCTTGGAAGAGTGAGGAAGAGTCTCAGGGATGACTCGTATCCTGGTCAGCACTTCTTTATCCTCCTACCATCGGGTAGGAGATACAGAAGCACAGCCAGCTGCACCAACAGGCTGAAGAACAGTTTCTACCCGTGGCTGTCAGACTTCTGAACGGAAAATAACTTGCATGTCAACACAGTATAATAGATTTGTGGAGCCGGTGCGTTGTGCAACAAGATCACATAGTGTAAAAAGTTTGGGTCTGGGTTAGGGACTTCTGTCCTCGCTGTGAGTTGTGTGCACGAAGGGAGGCTCAGCCAATCTGATTGTACACATATACTCTGACAATAAAGGTAATAAAATAATGTTGTGTTTTACTTGTATGTGTATATACAAGTAGTCTTATGACTTATGGCCCCAGTTGAGCCCCAACATTTTTGTTGCTAAGTGAGACATTTGTTAAGTGAGTTTTGCCCTGTTTTACGACCTTTCTTGCCACCGTGGTTAAGTGAATCACTGCAGAAGTTGTGGGTGCTCCATCAGTGGAGGTTTTCAAGAAGAGATTGGAAAGCCATTCGTCTGGGCTGCTATAGGATCTCCTACTTGAGCAGAGGGTTGGACTAGAAGACCTCCAAGGTCCCTTCCAACTCTATTCTGTGTTCTAAAATTCTAAGCTATTCCATTAGCAACAACGGGTCGTTAAACGAAATTGGCTTTTCCATTGATTTTGCTTGTCAGAAGGTTCCCAACAGGTGATCACACCATCATAAACGTGAGTCAGTTTGCCAAGGCCCTGAATTCTCATCACGCGGCCATTGGGGGGGATGTGGGACGGGATGCTGCAACGGTCATAAGTGTGAAAAAAACATTCCTAAGTCCCTTTTTTCAGTGCTGCTGTAACTCCGGTCCCTAAACGAGGACCAACCGTTGTGGCTTCCTTTAGATTCAACTTCCTGGTTGGTAACCCGAGAAGGCTGACGATGGAGAAGATGATCTCTAAAAGGTTTAATCCTCAGTACATGCTCAGCAGGCGCATGGGGGTGAGCCTTCCTGATCTGCACAACATTAAGCCAAGCGACAGCCCGATGAGGAATTTATCCCTCCGAAGCGTAGACGTTACACAAGGTAAGATGGAGAAAATCCTCCCAAGCTGCCATTGCTGCTTGGCTTATCTGAGTGGGAAACCTTGGCACGGATGGATGGATGCATGTTGTGAGTTAGCCAATGAGCAGAGAAGGCTCAGATCATTTGAAATACACCATAAAACCACAGAGAAGAGCTAGAACCGAGTGATTTGCCAAGTGGGGAGAAGAAGAGGAGGAGGAGGAGGAAGAGGAGGAGGAGGAAAGATACGAGTAGAGGGAGGAGGAGGAGGAGGAGAAGGAAGACGGCGGGGTCCTTGGTGTTCTCTGAGCTTGGTGGTTTTCTTGCAGGTGTTTCATTACCCAAACTAGATGTCATGCCCCTGTTGGAGTCTGACTCTGAGGGAGAGGAGGAACAGCCGACAGGGAGTGGGAGTGTGGCTCCGGAGGTTGTGGAGGAAACTGGGGAAGGGCACAGGCCGGCTGGGCAGTCAGAGGAAGACCCAGGCCCATCCCCTCTTCATCCTAGGGCACGCAGGGAGGAGAGGATAAGGGAGAAACATGAATGGCGTGGTCTATGAGGGAGGAAAGGGCCTTGATCCCCTTCATGGGCTGCAGCTATGAGGACTGTTTAAAAGGACGGACTGCGCATGGGCCAGTGCTGGAAACAACGCATGAAAGTATGCCTAGTCTGTCCGTTCTTATCTGAGTTTGGTGTCCTTCCCAGTGCGTGCATTTTGATATCTATGGACGTTTTCAAGCCCTTATCCTGCCTTGTCCCAGTAATTGCTTCAGTGTGGTTTTGTAACCCACCCTGGGTCATCACACTAGGTAACATTGTCAGCGCTAGAAGGAAGTGAGGATTTGCCAAATGGGGAGAAGAAGAGGAGGAGGAGGAAGAAAGGTAGAGGAGAGGAGGGAGGAGGAGGAGGAGGAGGAGGAAGACTGTGGGTTCCTTGGTGTTCTCTGATCTTGGTGGTTTTCTTGGAGACGTTTCATTACCCAAACTAAGTTAACCTCATAATGTGAAACGTCTGTAAAAAAAAACCCACCAAGCTGAGAGAGCACCAAGGACTCTTCACCTTTTGATTTAGTCCTACCCATCAGTCTGTGATCTCTTCGTGGAGGAGAAACATGTAGAAGTTCAAAATGAACCCAGAACGTTAACGGGAACCCTTGGTGCCTTTTTTGTAACTCTTGTAAAGTCACTTTTGTAACTTTCTTCTCCTTTTTTCTAGCTAAAAGATCGATTTCGAAACCCACCAGCACTTTCAAGATCCCAGATATCCATTTCCCACTGCTGGGTCAGAGCGTCCAGTCCTATTACGTCGACTTGGGTAACCATCTCAGCAGAGCTATCCAAATTTTGTCCCCGGAGAACTCTGCGCTTCTAGCGAGGTATTTCTACCTTCGGGGACTTGTCAACCTGATGCAAAGAAAATTCCTCAATGCACTTTCGGATTTCCAAAACCTGTACAAGACGGACATCCGGATATTCCCTACAGACCTTGTGAGAAAAATGATCGAGAATCTCCCACCCCTGGATCGCTCTCAGGCAGATCAGAAACCCGAACTGAAGAGGTTGATCAGTCACCTGCTGGATAAACAACGAGAGGTCACTAAAGCCGATGACCACGTGAAGAAATTTGCGTTGCCCAAAACTCACATGCAGGTGAATGACTTTGTGAAGCGTATCCAGGAATCTGGGATTGTCAAAGATACAGACACGATCCATCGGTTGTTCGATGCGTTAACCGTAGGTAAGGGGCAAAAACAAAAGAAAAATGGTTAGAAACTTTGTGAGAATTCCAAAAGGTGTTTTTTTTTTCCCAAGAGGCAATTGGACTTCCTTGTTTTTCTTTGAAGACGCTTCACATTTCATCCCAGAAGCTTCTTCAGCTCTGACTGGATAGTGGGGAATGGCAGGATTTATACTCCTTGCAGACAGCTGGTCATTTGCATCCTTTTAGAGGGTCGTTGAGGCCACTTGGATGTTTAATCTGTGTCCTCAGGGTCACCTGAATGATGCAAGTAGGCGTGGAGCCTTCTTGGAACGGTTGAAAAAGGACTGTGTTGTAGATTGGAGATAGATGATCAATTTTGACGTAGATGGCCTCTTCGGCCCCTCTTTCAAACCAGCAATCCCCTCTGTCCAAAATATGGACTTTGTTGTCTTCAAAAGAGTGGACTTTGTCTTTTAAATGCAGATGGATTGTTGAATCTAGTCGTGATGTGTTTGTTCTCCTATGTTGTGCGATGTGTTTATGAAGTGATCCAGATAAAATGGTCCAGCGGGTTGTTAAGGTCACCTCCAGGTGACTTTAACAATCTGCTAAAAGGATGCAAATGACCAACTGTTTGCAAGGAATACAAACCCTTCCATTCCCCACCATCCAGTCAGCGCTGAAGAAGCTTCTTTGGATGAGAAGCGAAATGTCTTCAAAGAATAACCAGAAAGTCCATGTCAGGATTCCGGCAGTTACTCCAATTAAATCATGAGCCTCGAGCCACACTCCCAAAACTAAAAAAGATTTATTTGAAGGTAACATTCTACTTCTGGCATTTACCTGGGCGTAGCCAACTCTGAGTTACGTAATTCACTGTCACCCTTGATCCTACTTTCCCCCCCACCCCTCTGGGTGTGTCATCCAACGAAAACCGTCCATAACCAAGAGTCATCAATCATGTTCTCCAATTAGATTTTTGCACAGCAGAAGCTTCAGTCATCTAATCAGTGTTCGAAGAAAATATGAATGGAATGTACTTTCGATTCCACTCTGCCATCTGCTCTTTGAAACTCCCCCCCCTTCTTTCTTTTGTCAACTGTAAAACGTGTATACAAAATGTTTTATGAGTTGACAGTCCAAGTTGACTCCTGAAAAAAAGACCTTTGGGACAACCATGACCTGGACGACTGGAGAATCTCCATAGACACTTCGTGAGCATTCTTTTTCCAGCTCTTTGTTTTGCTGTCATGAGTATAGACAAATGTTTGTGCAATCCTTCTTTAAAACCTCAAGTGATGGAGCACCCACAACTTCTGGTGGCAAGCTGTTCCACTGGTTTATTGTTCCCACTGTTAGGAAATATCTCCTTAGTTCTAGATTGCTTCTCTCCTTGATTAATTTCCATCCATTGCTTCCTTCTTGTCCTGCCTTCAGGTGCTTTGGGAAATAGCACCTGAACAAAAACGCAGGTCGTCCTCGAGATGCGACTATCATGAAGTTTGATCATTACCGTCATATGCCATGACAGTTGTAAATTGGATGAGTCCCATCACCAATCCAATTTTACAACCTGTTTTTTGGCACTGGCTGTAAAGCAAACTCAACAATCATTAAATGAATGCCCTGGAATTCCAGACGTAAAGGCATGGCAATAACTCAACGTGGTTGGGAGGATGCCAGGAACGCAGATAACCAAAGTACACACAAGATAAACTCACGTTTGTTCCCAAGCAGACCCTGCACTCAGCTTGGATCTCATTTAAACTCCCTCCCCAGCTGTGGCTAATGAAGGGAATCAGGGCCCTTTCCTCCCCGGTAAGCCACGCAACACACTTTACTCTCTTCTCCGTTCCTCCCTGCGTGCCCTAGGATGAAGAGGGGGTGGGCCTGGGTGTTCCTCTGAACTCCCTCTCCCTTGTTCTACCTCTCCCCTGTTCTGCCCAGACAGACTTTGCCCTTACCCAGTTTCCTCCACAGCCAATGAAGCCACATTCCCACTCCCTGTCAGCTGTTCCATCTTCCTCCTCGGATTCAGACTCCAACAGGGACATGACAGGAAGGAAGGAAGGGGAAGGAAGGAAGAGCAATAACACCTAGACTTATATATCCCTTCACAGTGCTTTACAGCCCTCTCTAAGCAGTTTAGAGAATCAGCATAACTGGCCCCAACAATCTGGGTCCTCATTTGACCCACCTTGCAAGGATGGAAAGCTGAGCCAACCAGTCAGGATTGAACTGCTGACGTGAGCAGAGTTAGCCAAGTTAGCCTGCGATGCTGCATTCTAACCACTGCGCCACCACCAGGGCTCTGATTAAAGGTAGATCAAAAGAACAACTTTTAGAAGGTTATTCTTCGCAAGCGTCAGATAACCCTAACTCTTAACCCATTGTTTGCTAGGGCGCAGTTTTGCTGGAAACCGGTTGTAACTTCCAGGTTTTGCCCAAAATGTGACCACGGGATGCCCCAAACGGTTAGAAATGCTATTGCCAAGTGACCCAGGAGAAGTCATGCAATCGTAGAAAGCAACCATTGGAGTTGAGTCATAGCTCCCCTTTTCCAGACAGGTCATAACTTTGAATGCTCATCAAGCAAACAGTCGTAAATCAAGGACTACCTCTACAGGTAGTCTTCAACTTGCAACAGTTCATTTATTGACCCTTCAAAGTTAGAAAAGCACTGAAAAAAAAGTGATTAGACCATTTTTCACACAACTGTTTCAGCACCCCCACAGTGAGGTGATCAAAATTCAGGTGCTTGGCGACCGATTCATATTTATGACGGTCACAGTGTCCCAGGGGGGTGTCACGTGATCGCCTTTTGCATCTCAACATACAAGCTTCTGATCAGCAAAGTCCATGGGGAAGCCATAAGTCAAGGACTGCCTGTAGTCAATAGCCTGATCTTTTTGTCTTTCTTTGGCCGATTTTTAATTGGGGGTTCAATGTTGCTTATATGTTGAGAAACCCTCGAATGCAGAGTATCCGAGTGCCCCTTAAAATTATACCGGGCAGCAGAATGCTGGAAAGAAGCATCATAACCCAAAGTCTAAATTTCCCTGAGCTTCTAAACCAAATAGACTGGCGAAAAGATCTGAAGTTATAATTTGGACCAGAACCAGTCAGGGTCTTTTTAAGTCCTAACATCTCTAGTCATGCTGTTAGAATGGTAGATATAAAACATTGAGATGTCTGTCTGTCTGTCTATCTATCTATCTATCTATCTATCTATCCATCCATCCATCCATCCATCCATCTATCCATCTATCATATCTATCATATCTATCATATCTATCCATCTATCCATCTATCCATCTATCCATCTATCATATCTATCATATCTATCATATCTATCTATCTATCATATCTATCATATCTATCTATCTATCTATCTATCTATCTATCTATCTATCTATCTATCTATCTATCTATCATATCTATCATATCTATCTATCTATCTATCTATCATCT